ATGGTGGATTCCTGGGGTCAAGATTTGATTACATTTTTGATATTCTGTGTTAAAAACGTAGTGAAAACTATTCTGTTTTTGCTCAGTCTTAGGATTTAGTTTGAAGTTAGAACGAGGACACAGAGTGTCATTGATGCAAAGCACCAAAAGCTAGTTGAGTGGTAATAGCTCCCCCCTTGTGGAGAATCTACAGCCTGCTAAATGCGAGTGAGAATGCTATAAGCTATGTCCATGAGGTCATCAGGAGATCACAAGTTCGATTCCTGGTGATGCTACAGCCATCTGTGGCTGGGAATCCAAGAGAGCCCTCACTCCCCATCACTTAGCGCGATGCTAGTCAGCGCAGGCGTCTGTTAGCTGACGTAACAGATCTGGCGGGTGGCGCTTTCCTCCGAGTGCGTTCAGCTGTCCAATGAGGTTGCATTAGCGGCAGTTCGAAAAGAAGCAGTGGCGTTTTGCAGGTCTTGGAGGAAGCCTGTACTAACCTTCACCCTCTTAGCGCTGGTGGAATCGTGTGACTGGGGGAGTCCTAACTAGTGGGTGGAAGTGGATACGACTAAATTGTGGATAAAATTAGGAACAAAAACAAAAACAGTAATTTGAGTGTGGGCTTTGCATATCATAACCCCGCCTCCCTCCACACCCACTTCACCTGATAGGATGCATTTGGATGCCTAGTTTTGATCACTGACAGTGGATTACATTGAAATGTATTAAAATCATTACTAGGGATGCACTGATACGGGAATCCTGCAGCGATGCCATTTTTTGATATTGTTCATGTATACATATCTGCCGATGCTGATACATGGGAGGACATTGGGAGGACCGAGACAATTCTTGGTGGGCAGAAATGCATTGTCGTTTCTAATGCAGTCCTATATAAAATGGACGGAGACCATCCGGAGACCACCCGGAACTAACAGAATGGCAGGCTTAGGCAGGGTTGTGGTTGTGTTTTTTGGGGGTCATGATGCAGGGGCTATAGTGGGCTGGTTTAGACGAAAGCCCAGTGCTGAATTTAGTTCCCAGTCCAGCCCCACACACAAGCATTATAGTCCTAAAATAAAATACACATATGGGGACTAAATAACCTGGATTAGCATTATGGAGAAATGTAACACTGTATTTCTGTATGATACAAATGCAGTAAAATGAAAAAAGATATTTTAGCACAGTAGCCCAGCACTGCCAAAACCTTCTACTCCAAACAAATACATCACATCGGTTTGAAATCGAATCATTTGTCCAATTCGGATCATTTTTTAATCAACTATCTGCCGATACTGATATGATTCCGACATGATTGTGCATCTCTAATCGTTACACCCTTATTGGTCTGACAGTACGAGCAAGCAATGGCAACACCTTCTGGAGGAATCATTCATGATCGCTTAAAACAGTTACAACCAGGTGTTAAGAAGCCATTTCTCCTTCAATCTCTACTCCTGGAGGACCTGGTAGTGAAGTGTATAACCGTGTAATAGGACCGTAATCATCAAGCAGACTCTGTGCACCTGGTGTTTCCTCCACTACACTTACACAAACAGATGGAGTGGAGTTTTAATGAAGCAACATGATCCAGACATGCAGCCAGGGCAACTCCTGAGCACTGTCACTTCCTGTTTAAACAGCCCATTAGCAGCAGTAATAAGACTTGCTACCTTTCTTGGCACCACCTCTGTGCCAACTGCCCTGCTAACGCCTTCCTCCAAACAGGGCTGCATTAATGCGCTGTGTCCTGAAGACACATCACACTTCTATGAACACACCAGGGCACATTCAGAAGACCACTTAGCATTTACATATATCATTAGTTTTAACTTTTGACACCTGCTTTCACTGTTGCATCATTTAAAAGAGAAGGCAATCCACCAAACCCAGATTCATCTTCCAGACTGCCAGATAGTGAAGTGTGATTCAGCACTTTAGTGTTTCCACTACTCCAGAGTCCAGTGGGGGCATGCAATACACCACTCCAGCTGACGCTTGGCGTTGCACATAGTGATCTTAGGCTTGTGTGCGGCAGCTCAACTGTGGAAACCCATTTTATGAAGCTTCCGTTGTGCTGATGTTGCTTCCAGAGGCAGTTTGGAGCTCTGTAGTAAGTGATGCAACAGAGGACACGTGATTTTCTGTGAGTTTACATTGTCTGCTGCTTTGTGGCTGAGCTGTTGTTACTACTAGACCTCATGTGTCAAACACAAGGCCTGCAGGCCAGATTAGGCCCATGACACAATCCTATCTGGACTGCGAAAGTATTTTAGTTTTCTATTAATATTAGCTCATTTCACAATGCACTGTACTACAGTCCCCAGCATGCACTGCTGCATAATATGCTCTAACTCTCCTACCCCAACAACAATCTATGGGACAGCGGTTTCACCTCAATTCTACACAATTCCACACCAGTCATGTCACCAAACAACTAACTGCATTTCAGCCATTATAAATAGCTAATGCAAGGTCAGAAATTGAGCCCAAGTATTAATGAATTGCAGCAAAGAAAAGATGCCAGGTGTCTAATTTAAGCAAATAGGTAGGTTTAAAAGACTGAGCTCATGGTGAAAATTAGATTTTGAATATTTCAAGCATTCACGTACTATGGTCTACTACAAGTGCCTAAATTTTACTGTTGAAGTTTTTGTGTATTTTAAACAATGGTCAGTTTTTAGCATGTTAATTAAAAATGAAATAAAACATAGGTGTTCTTCGGCCCATGGACTTGTTGAGATTTTTCAAAATAGCCCTATTAGTGGTTAAGTTTGACACCACTGTCCTAGACGCTTCTATTTCACAGTAATAGCACTTACAGTTGACTGGGGAAGATCTTGCAGGGCACAAACTGACCAGTGGCAGAGGTGGCATCCTATGACAGTGCCATGGTTAAAGTCACTGAACTTTTCAATACAATCCATTCTACTGCCAGTGTTTGTCCACAGAGACTGCATGGCTATGTGCTTGATTTGACACACTTGTTAGCAATGGGTGTGGTTGAAACACCTGAACTAATAAAAAGGGGTATCCACATACTTTAGTGTACCTCACAATTTGCACTTGAAGGCAGCATAACACAAATAATCCCACCATAAGTATAGACTAAGTAAGATGAACACAGGCAGACTTTGCTCCATTAATGTTCCAGTTGCATTTACAATTATCCAGTTTGCTTTTTACATTTACACTAAAGATTTTTCAGGTCATTATTTTTGACTGATACAACAATCTGCGTAGTCACACTTCCTTCAAACAAGGCCTAATGGCCTTAGTACAAATATAAGTTAAATAAGCATGGGTCTAAAGTCACATCTTTGGCTAAACTCAATGAACATCAATAGCAAAATATCATAAAGAGTTGTGAACTAAACAGGGATGGAAAACCCCCATTTATGTTTCACTGCTGGCTCCTGATAGCTGGGCTACTTCACTGGTCAACTAATTGGTTATACTCGTCACATACTTCAGAATTTCCATCCCAAACTTTTTCGGAAGCCCAGTACACAAAACGTTTGCGCCGATTGATCTGCTGCCGGGGTCGCTTTTATTGTGACCTTCATTTGTGTGCGGTAGGGCCGGGTGTATGTGAGGAGAATGGAGATAATGAGGGCGCGGGCCTGCGCTGAAGCCTAAATGTCACCATCTAAACAATGAGGACAGGGATTAGCGAGGGGCTGTTGACATTTGCTGCTAAGATAATTAGCCGCTAAGAGGCTAAGCCAGAGGCTACTCATTATGAGCTGTTGACGGCAGCTTTCAAAAAGACTGGCTTGGCACTATCGATCGATGACAACGTTACGGGCTCCGTCTCGTAGAGGTAAACATCAGCCCTGAGGACGCATGAATGAAGGCTGGATCGACAGTTCGCTCAGATTTGAAGGTCTTGATATGAGATGGGTTGTAGTTATAATGAGAGTCATTGTTAAGAAAGCTCTGCACAATTGATTGAATGTTTCGGTGTTCATCATCATGGTCCAACTGTGGACAAAACGCACTGATTTTTTGCAAGTCTTTGAAGAAAATAAGGCTCTGGGAGTTCAGAAGAAATAGAGGCCTTTGATTATGGGTTAAACATGGTCCTTGAAAGGATTACACTTCAGTTTAGCCGGAGAAGCCACTTTCACATTTGTATTTGTTCGCTCTCACTCAGAAGAGGCTTTAGAGGACGTCTTGAGAGGGATGACAACTCACGCAGGCAGGACCGAACGATATGGACAAAATATTGAAGGGTGGACCCGAACAGCTGTTGGGTGCTGTATGTTGCTATAGAAACTGTGATTGTAGCTCCCTCGTTCAAATACTTTCATGAGTCACATAGGCGCTAAAGATGTAATGAATTTGAGATATCGTTCTATTTATCAACAATGTGATTTTAGTTAGCTGCCTTTATTTACTTTACCAAGTTATTTTTACATACATGCTATGTTATGTTTACATACATAATGACCTTGTAGATACTAGTACTGCAAAGGTATACACCGCAATAAAAATTCTGGGCTGGGTGGTCAGTCCGTTACTCTAAGGACACCAGCACAATAGTAGGGTCTGACTGATATACTGTTATGTTGTTTGGCCAATAATGCTAGACAAAAATACTGCTGCTACTGCACTGATAATTAATGAGATATTGCAAACTACCTTTTTTATGAAGAGAACTGACGTAGAGTAATAAAAAAGTACAGGTATTATGGGTATCCCTGCTCCGAGTGCTACAATTATAGCATTTAGGACTGAGTTTCTGTTGTTTACTTGAGTTTAAGAAGTGTGACAGGTGGTATCTGACAGTCATATCTGTCAGTAAAGCACCGTTTAACCAAAAATATTTGAATTTAAATATAAAGTTAAATTAGCCAATATTATCATTATCCTTAAAATCGGTTTCAGCCACAAAATGTTCATATCAGTTGTAATAAACAAATGATAGATTTTGCAACCCCTGTTTCCAAACACAGATTAGACCTAGTCCAGGACTAAAACATTATTAGTGGGTATCCTGCATCCAAGCTACGTTTAGTCAAGGCCTAGTAAAATTCATCTAGATTTGGGAAAAAAAAAATCCAGGCTGGTCTTCAGGTTGAGATGGCAGTGAATACACTGCCATGATTCTTCATCCATACAATTGCTGCAAAAAATTACGTGGACATTTGTACCGCAAAACTCTCAGACCAAGTTGCATTTATTTTAAAAACAGAACATTCCAAGACCATCATTTTCTTTTTTTGTGAAATATTCTTTCAAAAGGTGGCTGTTGTGTTTTAGGCTGCTATCGTTTGAGGAGTGTCTCTGAAGACGTTGGCAGGTCTGCATCCAAAAAGCCTCTGTACACAACCAAGTTCATGATCTCATCAATGCAACCTCTCCGACATTGTAAGAAAATTAGCCCCAGACTTTGATGTTTCCTCCTCTGTGCTTTACAGAGCTCTTAGTGCAGCCTGGTTGGAGATTTTCACCAGCCTTTCTCCACACAAAGAGTCTTCCCATCTGTTTGATGTTGTGCTAAAAGTGTTTCTCTATGAAACATCATTTCGTAAAACATTTTATTTTACAACCTTAAAGATCATTAAAGCTTACCGATTGTTAAAAGGTTAAAGTGTCCAAATACTGTATCTGTAGAATGTCCTCACGTATAGGGCTGGCTATTCCTCTCTGTAATGTTAAGGCAGTCCAGAAAACCTTGATTTTTTTGATCAGGTGTGTTTGTTTGGCACTGGAACCCAACTGCTGGATAAGGTTCTGTAAAAGGTTCTCCTGCTACAAGCTGTCTGCCACTGTCACGTCTTCTTTTCTGTCTGCATGGGAAGAACTTCTGTTACCCAGTATTGGAAGAGAGTGCAGACCAGCACAGTTTCATCTGAGGGAAAGAGAAAGAGAGGGAGAGAGAGAAGACATTTGAGGAGAAGGGCAACATTTCTGTATTTTATACTCTTTTGGCCTAATCATCATAAAACAGAGATGCAAAATCTTAAAAATAAAAACTGAAAATTGCCATTAAGTATTTTATTAATTATTTAATTTTTCAAGAGGAAATACTGAGGAGTTTAGATATAAGATAATCCACTTTAATAAGAAAAAAGAAAGTCAAAGGAATTTAAGTGAAAAAACAGGAGCTTCCAATACTAGAGTGATTAAAAGCTACAGAGACACTGGGACTCCTAACAACCACCTGGAAGACCTGGTAGACACCAAAACTTCCCCCAACAGGTAAACAGCACTTAAAGCTTTCATCTTTGAGAGAGAGGAGAAAATCAGGCTCCAAAGAAGAACATCAAACACAGGAGCTGCTGGTGAGTAATGGACTTCACTGAGTGTGTTTGGGATTACTTGCATCATGAAAAGCAGAAAATGCAACCAACTTCTAAGACTGAACTTTGGAGGTGTGGGAAAATATCCCTGCAGATTTCTTTGAGAAACTGAAAGTGAGTCTCTTGAAAAGAATGAAAGCTTTATTAACGGTAAAAGTTGGGCACACTAAATACTGACATTATACAGTCCAACAACAGCATAATTTGATATCTTAACTTGCACTTAATGGCTGTTTTGACTGGAAATTAGGTGCATTAAGAGTGGTCTATGACTTCTGCACATTATTGTACATTCTTAAAATACTTTCGCCTGTGGTGACACTTCTAGCCCCCAGTGCAGCTGGGCATTAATTTATATCCAGTGTTTACTCAACCATTCTTAAAAATGTGTCTCAGACTTTGTGTGTGTGTGTGTGTGTAAAAACCCTGAACTCTGTGGGTGTGTGATAGAGCGAGCAGCTTAACGGCTCCGTCACCCTTGACTGGTGTTCCCTCTGAGGGCCGAAATTAAGCTATGAAACAGGTTTGGGTGCAGAGAATGTAGTCCATTGATTCCCGCTATGCGGAGGAGCATCAGCGAGCTGTGAAGAACGGCTGAAGGTCCTGAACCACGCACTGAATAAGCACAGCCCACTTTTATCACACTTCTTATATGAGAGCTGATCTAGGGTCAGTTTTAGCCTTTTAGTGTTCACCACTGTATAGATCAAGTACATGGTAATGCACAAGGGACACTAGACCTATCACAATGAAAAGCTTAAGGCAGTGATGCTATTTAGTGAGGTATTCCATTACTGTTAGCTAAACTAAAGAGTTTTGAGCTAAACTAAACATTAAAGAAGCAAACTTTACACAGCAAGCATGTCTTGGTTGATCGACTACATAAAGGAAAAACTGTGTACTGAACTATAAGTTTAAAATCAATGCGAATCAGAAGTCATAACGCCTTTCCTTCTATACTGTGACATTTGCGAGTGTAACATGCTATCAGCAAGGGTCCCTGAGCCTGATCCATTACAATATGCAAGGATCGGCTGGACCCTTGGACTGGAGGAATGTCTCCCTTAAAAACTCAGTAACAGCTCTGAAGGAAAGAAAGCAACAGTCACACAAACACATCTCAAATATCGATGTGAATACTGCAAACATTGCAATTAAGGTCTGAGTGCTTTGTGCCCACAGTGGGACAGAAGAGTCCATTTACAGAATGAGGTTTCTAAAATATGATCTTCTAGAATCAACACGAATTACCCAGAAATTTCAGGTAAACAAAAAAATGGCTTTACAAATCCCTGATCACTGTTTTAATTACAACACTGCCAAAGACTAATTAAACTTCCTGAGGCAGAACTGTTTGAAATGAGCCTTAGAAAGTTTTTAAACACCATGTTTATACCTGGTGGCCATTTTATTAGAAACAACTACCTTATACTTCCACTCACTGGCCTCTTCATCAGAAACTCCTACCGTATATGTCAACTCACTGGCCACTTTATTAGAAACACCTACCTTGTACTTCAACACACTGGCCACTTTATTAGAAACACTTACCTTGTATGTCCACTCACTGGCCACTTTATTAGAAACACCTCCTTTGTACTTCCACACATTGGCCACTTTATTAGAAACACCTACCCTGTATGTCCAAACACAGGCCACTTTATTAGAAACACCTACCTTGTATGTCCACTCACTGGCCACTTTATGACCTTCCTTTTAGGTCCATTTTATGTCCATTACATGTGAGAACAATTACAGACTGCTGGCCTTTTGATTCACAATTTGTCATCCCTGCACCCCATTTAACAATGGTCAGTTTCTGACCACAGGTCCATTGTCCAGATACTATTTGGTTGGTGGATTACCCTCAGCACAGCAGTGACACTGAGATGGTAGTGTGTGGTGCTGATATGAGTATATTAGACATGCCAGTGACACTGCTACACTGAGAGCAGTCCACTACTCAAATAATTTTCAGCCTAAAGAAGCTCTGTGGTCAGAGAGTGACCACTGATGAAGGATTAGAAAATGGCTAACACAAATATGCCATCCAAAAGAAAGGCCACACAGTCCCTAACTGCAGAAACTGTAGGTGTTTCCAATAAAGTGGCCAGTGAGTGTACATCATAACATGTTACGCACTCCACAGTGCAGACAACTCCACATTGTCACAGAAGACTCGCACCTCAGTGGGATCAACCTGTATGAGCAGCACTCATGAGCACATCTGCATTAGCGCAAAGCGAATGGAGACTGACACAGTGTCCTAATATAGACCTTTTGGAATGACACTTATGTTTTCGGCTGAGCGCACCTCAAACTCCATCTCCACAACGACATCTCACTGAGAACAGCCATCTGTCACGCTTGGAAAGAAGGGGAAAAACGCAGGCGATCCTTTCAAAACGATCCACTTTAATGACGGCTGACCTACTTGCAAATCGCTCAGCGAGCGATTCCTGACAGTAATGACACGGTAATGTATGGGATAATATGCCAAATGATGCGTTCAATTGCGCGGAACATCCGTCGATTTCCATTCCTGCGATTTAGTTAATGTGCCCAGAGTTCATGACTTTTTGTTCAGTTTTGCTCTCGCGCGAGGGCCCAAATTTGCTTTGACTGAGCCTTTGAAATGAGCGGAACGACGAGAAGAGCAATTAAAACTCTATTAGAAGTTTACACTTTAATAGATGCAAGAATGATGTTGGTCTGGGGCCATTTTGCGATATTTAGAAAAAGAATGCACTCACACATGCTGAAAGATCGTCATGGCAAATACAGGCAGACTACTGGGGTAACTTGAGGGAAGAAGCCCCCCCAGAAGTAATACGCTTCCCCCATTTATTTTCTTTTCTGATGAACTGATGGGGCCAAATCTAATCTTGACACATTTACTGAATAGCTTTGGTCTAATTGATTCTGATATTTTATTTGGATGACTGGGGTGTAAACCCCTGGAAAATGAGTCTGGTGACGTAATCCATCACTGCATTCATATTAAGTTGCACAAGAAAAACTGTTACAGACATATGACTGGGGGAGCTGGGGCAGTACATTTTGTTTTGAGATAAAAAAGGTTGCTTTTTATTGAAGCAAAAATGTAAAGTTCCCCCCTTTGGGGTAAGAAGTTTCTCAGACACAGGGCAAAAGGCCCACTTTAGCATACTGACACAAATATACAATTTATTCAGATTTTCATCTCAAAGACACAGGTTGTTCACCAGAGTTCCGCTGGTCTGCTAGCATTAGCATTAGTGTTATAGCAATCATAAACTACAATTAGGCTACATTTTAAGCCATCTTGCTGGAGATGATATCATTATGTAACAAATATAATCACAATGACTATTTAGTTAAATAACAATGTTAAACTACATGAAGTGTTTCCATTTTATTGTCATTTGTCTTTGGCCATAGGTTATTAAATTGAAATTTGCTTTGTCAGCATTTCTACATAACTCAACTGTAAAGGTGTAAACAAGGTAATTCAGAGTGGATTGATGTGAAGTGGTTTACTGTAGAAAGACTTACTTACTGATGACAGGAACCTGGAGTTGCGATGTCTACAATGTAAATACAGCCATTTTATTTACTATTCAAAACCACCAGTGAACCTACACAAGTCTTCTGAGTTTTTCTACGTAATGTTGAGGATGGTACGACAGTGGTAAATCTGAAAAACATATCGCTGCTGTCGGAACAAAACCTCTTATCTCCAAAATGGTAACTCTACAGGAGAAGCAAAAAACATGCTTTTCTTATAATGTAAGTCAATGGAACCAGACATTTTACGCACAATATAAAGTATAAAATACAGTAGGTTTTTTCAAAATATGTCAAAAACTGAAAAACGACAAAAATGGAGATAAGAGGTTTTGTTTCCGACAGCAGCGATATATTTTCTTTTAATGGTGTTTTGCTTGCATATACCTCTCTGACATGAATGTGCTTTAGAAAATAAGTTTTTGGTCAAAACAACATCTCAAACTATAATAAAACAATGTCTGAGATATCAAGCATCATTTTCAGACTGAATATATTGTTTATATTTGTTTATATTTGTTTAATATCTTTCGGTGAGGGAGCTTTCAGACATTAAACTCTTCAGACATCTGGTTCCTATAACCACCACCACTGTGAACAATTCTGACTCTGTAAGTTTCTCTTAACCAATTATGCAGAATTTAAAAAATAGGTAGAATTTCCCTTTATAATGCAGTGGGGAAAATTAAGACTCATTGGCTCATTTTAAAATCTAATATTTTCAGTGCTGTTATTTGATGAACATCATCATTTTACGAAAAACATCAAAGTCTAGAAACGATTTGACATATAAATGATACATTTGGTAGAACTTGCAAGATTTACCAGGGGAGCTTTTTACCCCAGGTCATTTCTTGTGCTGTAAAAAGTAAAACTGTCTGCTGTTCCAATTTATTTGTGCTAACTACGTGTAAGCTTATGCTTCATCAACCTGCACATGACAAACATGCACAGATACAGTTCAGCTTTTCAGTAAACAGACATTGTTCTTAATGGGGGGACATTCCACCATTTTCTCTCCTTGTCTGAATATTTTATAGTGGGAAATAAAAAGCAGTTTAGCTGAATAGACAAGCACCCAAAATGCTCTACTTATAACAGCAGCCCTAAATATTTATAGGAATCCAAGACCATGTTTGATTGCTGAAATAATGTTTTAACTGTAGCAGTTACAGTTATGGCAGTTAGAGAGCAGATGGCTGGTTTTCAAACACAGGGCAGGATGACCCAACATTCTCCAACAACAACCTCCAAACTCGAACTCTGCTGCCATCTGCTACCTGTTTTTGATTACTGGGAAGTCTTTACAGCGTTCAGTAGTGCTTTTTCTGTATTTTCAGCTGACAAATGCTGATATTTGAGCGCCCGTGTTTGTTGGACGGTGGTGGGTCATCGTGCTCTAAGATGTCATGCCCGGATTGGTCAACCCTGTTTAGTGTGCTGCTTTTAATTGGACTGGCCGGTGCTCAGGAAGTACAGCGTGAGAGGCAAACAAATGAGATGATTCAGTAGATATGTTTGTGGAGATGAACGACTGTGTGTTCTGAGGTTGTCGTGGAAACGGTAGTTCTGTTCCTGTCAGTGCGATGACCACCTGCTTGGTCAAGGCTTTATTCTACGGTTAGAGAATCGCTGCACACTGGTCTTCATGAGGACTGAGAGACCACACATACACAAAACACCTTTTCACATTTTCTGATTTAACCAGCGGTGTTCGCAAAGCATTATTAGAGGAGAGCAGCCGAATGTCTCCACAGCATCAAAAAGTCCATGATCTCATGATCCTGGGGATTTTTTAACGTTTAATAACATTTTAATAGGAACAAGTATAGCTACGGTAGCTGTGCTCCACCCAACCCTGACCTTAAAGGGGAATTCCAGTGATTTTTCAGCTCAATTTTAGCACAATTAAATAGTTTCAGTGTAAGAAAAGTAATTCTGAGTGGTTTGATTTGAAATGCACTGTTCTAGAGAAGCTTACCAAGTCGGAATTGTTAAGAGCGGTGGTGGTAACCAGACGTCCGAAGAGTTTAATGTCTCTAAAAACTACACCACAGAAAACTATTACATGAAATTGTTTCATGATGGGAGAGATACACGCAGGATGTTGAAAAGCAAAACAGCACCCAAAGAAAAATAGTTTTGGATTCACCATTGTCAACATCACATATTAAAACTCATTAAGAGGACACATATCAATTGATGGTGATCAATTTTAAATAAAATGTCTATACAGCCATATGCAAAAATATGAACACCCCCGGTCAAACTGAAAATATGTTAACACATCCTCTACAGCAGGCATGTCAAACTGGGGCCCTTCCGGACCAAAGTACTGTGGAGATTAGCGTTTACCTTCGTCTAACACTCTGAATTCAGTTCATGAAGGCCTTGCTAATTAGCTGATGAGTTGAATCAGGTGTGTTTAATGAAGTAGCGTTCTAAAGTCTGCAGCGTTTTGGCCCACCACGGCTGGAGCTTAACACGTGGGCTCTAAGGGACCAAAAATGAATATGGTGTTTTTCTGCTAATTTTAGACCACAACTTCTATTTACACATGGAATTTGACCAGGGGTGCCCAAACTTTTGTATCTGACTGTATAATGGCGTGTAGACATCACGCCCCCTGGTTCCTATCCTCACCATTTAAAAAAAAATCGTTGGAATTCCCCTTCATCCTCAACCAAAATAGCGTTTTTGACCTCTTTTACTTTTTCTAATAAAAGCTTCAGTTTTTGAGAAAACACATTTTCCCTTGTGGGGATCAGTCAAATGACCCACACTGTAAAGGATGCTTTGTGGTCATCACAAAAACCTAAAACACACACAACCTGGATTATTAACTGTTCTCTTTCTTTTACGAGTTCATGAAAAACATGAAAATCTCTGCAGACTCTACAGTCAGATTCATTAATTAAATTTTAACAAAACAATACAGAAGCACTTAATTGCTAAAATTATAATAATTGGGACATCTGAAGACTTCTCCTCCTCTTCCACGTAACTCCACTCACCTGTGGTCAGTGTGGAGGTGTGGCTGAACTCCTGCAGAGCCGTGTTTAACCGCTCCACATCCCTCTGGCCCAGCAGGGCCCTCAGTGTGCACAGACCGGACACAGCAGCAGGGGGCGCCGTCCCCTCCGACAGACAAGTGAAGAGTGACTCCGCTGTGCTCAGAGAAAGAGAGGGTCTGCCTGCAGTACAGGATCCTGCGGGGAGGAAGAAGAAAGAGATGAAGGTCAGTTAGGTCAGTGATTTTCTCTACAGTCCCCCCCTCACCTCAAATGTCGTTGATCAGCCAAGCGGTTGGAATTTCTGGTTTTGCTTCTTTTGCACTGGAGCTAATATAACGAGGCTAATATGATAGAAGTCTATGTCACCAACAAAGCTTTTGGGTTACGAGCCAAATGCTTTAGTGCAAAACTAAAAAATCACATGTTTTGTTTCTGACATGTCTTGGCCAATCAACAACATTTAGAGTGAGTGGAGGGCATTGTGTAAATTAGATTTTCTGGCAAAGCACTCCTTTAAAGATGTTTACAATGTTTTACTACTGTGGATATTAAAGGCAGATCGGCTTACGACTGGAACCATTTCTGCCGAGTGACCAACAGTTAGATGGACCCAAGCGTCTGTTCTTATACCACTGAGCCATTCAGCCAATAAGAAAACATGAATGTCTTTCTTGGGCTTTGGTGGAATCCGTAAGGGACAGTTTGACTTGCACTCTTCAAAGGCTTACCGGAACCAACCCTTCTCCACTGTACATGACCTGAGGCTGTTCTAGGACAGATTACACAACTGGTTATGATCCAGTGGAGGAGCCTCAGAGACTTCATGAGAGAGAGAGAGAGATGAGTGGTTAAGACATGGAGCATGGGGAAGAAAGTGACAGAGGATGATGGAGAGTGTGAGACAGGGATTTAGGGAGAGGGAGAATGTAACAAAGTGAGAAACAGAGACAGTGAGAGCGCGAGGGCTCCCTCCTTGTACTGTTTGTACCAACAGTCTGCGCTTAAGAATGCTGAGTATTAATATTAAGACTTTTAAAGCCACAGTCGTACTCGACTTTTGCAGCTGGCGTCGCCTTGCGAAAGCTGACTGAAGCTGGACAGGAATAAGATGATATTTTGTGTTCTTCTCCATGCTGGTTCAGTTAGATGGCTCAATTGCTCACCATCAATAGTAACGACACAAAAGCGAACCTAGTTATCAGATAAGTATATACTTATGCGAAGATAGTGCTGCACACTGTGTCACAGTGAAAAAGTGTAGAGAACTGGTGTGTAGATAATTGGTGGCAGTGGGAAGACCTATGTGCAGCTGCTTTTAGCCAAGGAGTTAACATTGCAGTCAGTAAGCTGCCTAACTTGTCTAAAACAAACTCAAAAACAGTAAAACCACAAAAGTAAAAGACAATAATACAGTCTCCCAACTGACTGTGCATCAGACAGTTCCTCTTTCAGTATTAAAGCCAAAAAGAAGAAATGGTAAAAGGTTTGTGCTTAGAGACTGGCTAAATAGTGATTCCTTCATTTTGGAGATTCAGTGCTACTATGTGAATGGCTACCACGAAGAAGGCAACACAACCAAAACAGTGTTACTATGGGTGGATGATGCCGATTTGCATGTCAAAGGTCACCAAAGTTGAACCTGACAAAAAATTCTGCATGCAAAATGTATTTGCCCCAGAAGTCTATGCTGCTCACTGCAGTGAATTCTATTGAAATGAATGTAGAATGCTGGCAAACCCATGACTGGGCTTTTCAACAACACATTTACACATTTGGCAGATCTTATGCAGAGCAGTTTACAACTGAATTGTGTTACAAAGGTTGGCAAATGTAGCATTAGGTGTCTTGTCCAAGGACTCTTATTGGTATAGCATGGTGTGCTTGCTTGGTCAGGGAATCTAACCCCAGTCAACCGCATAGAGGGCAGTTTTTACACATTACCCGATACAAACCTACACAAACGACTACACCAACAAAATTAAAATGAATAAGAAAATATCGCTAGAACTACTACTGTTAATGTTTAGATTATAACTGTGATAAAACGATGAAATGGTATGGTTATCATTGGGTTTTACACCACGTTACATGATTAAAACTGGTAACCATCTCATCCCTATTGCTGATATGTAGGGCTGGGATGCTAAACAATTTTGAAAAATTATCAATATAATATTTTCGTGTAAAATCACAGATTTTTTAAATAATGTTCAGTATATCTAGGACAGTTTCCATTTGGATCAGTGGGGACAACAAAGCCTTAAGGCCTTTTAACACCAAGTCCCAGTTTACATACTAAAAAAAGTGTCTGAAGCAATAGTAATGCTTTAAACTCCTTTGTCAAATGACCTTATTTAGCAGAATTGGCTGTTAACCAGTGTCTGTGTCCTTAAGTTGCACACTTCTGATGGCATTTTTCCTTTGTAGCAGCAGTCATGCCAACATGACAGTTGCTGACACCGTGGCTCACATGTGTAAGTAAAATCAGTTTAATAGCCGCTATCGATAATTATAATAAATCGCTCAGTGACCACAGCCCTACTGAAATGTCCATAAGAGAAATATTTTTCAAATTGTTTGTGTGCCTTGTTCACTGTAACCTTACCAGTGTCACCATGTGAGAACTTTATACTAAGCTAATCAATGTCAAGGAGGTTTGGTTTTTATAATGTATAAAGAACTATAAAGTTTATGGCCATAATCTAAAGCATTCCATTTTAATCGTTCTCATTTAAGGGCTCAGACTTACGATCTGAAAGGTAGATGTCCCAAGTGGTTCGCAGGAAGTCCAGAATCTCTTCTACTTTTTGGCTGTTTTCTTCGTCATTCTCTTCCTCCTCCTCTTCTCCCTTGTTCTGTCTGTAGGTGAACTCCAGGGGCCTGGACTGCGGTGCCAGGCCGAGGGAGCGGAGCTTCTCTTTCTGACGTTTCTTTTTCAACTTCCTCTTCTTGCTTTTGCTGATTTGCTCCTTCTGGCCCTCAAGGACCTCCAACTTCTGTCCATTTTCCCCCTCAGCTTCTTCTGCTTGTCTCTGAGCACCCTCTTGTGGGGGGGTGAATATTCTCCCAGCACCGGCATCATCAGCCTTTCTCTTCCTCCTTCGCCTTCTTCTCTTCCTCACATGGCCTTCGTCTTCAGTGACATCACTGTCTTCTGAACCTGAAAGATTGACTGGAGAGAACAAGGATACATTTGTGATACACAGTCGCATTCAGACACTACTGATGCTATACTAGTGCATACAACATTATGTTTTAATATCTTTGAGACCCATCAAAATAAAAATATTAGCATTTCCTTTATAAAGTAAACATTAACAAAAATTTGGCATGTGTTAATGAATGCATGTTTTTATGTTTTATTTAAACAGATTGGCTGAAAATCAAACATTGACATGTGCCTCAACACACATGACGATGCACTGCAGCTCTAAAGGACTCTTCTTAACTTCCCACAATCTGTTCTTACAGTCTTTTCAGCGTGTTTATCAGTTCTGTCATCCTCTGGCTCTTCATCAGTGGTCAGTTTCTGACCACAGCACCGCTATTAGATGGATATTACTGATGGTGGCCTGTTCTGACATATTTTAATATGCATTATGACTCCTTTCCACTCAGTCTTTAGGCATCATCTTAGAACTGAATACAAAATAAGACATTTTATGTCACAGATATTTTATGTCCTTAAATGATTAAAATTTTAAGACCTGATTAGACTTTTTAAGGATCTGCAGAAAACCTGTCCAAGGCTTCTGGTAGTTCTCACTCTCACTGAATAGTGAATAGAACACTTTGAAAAGTTAATAACATTAATATTATTAATATTTAAAGGACTGCAAACTAATTGACTCCATTAGTGGCAATTCTCCACTGGAAATACAAAGTAGTGCAGAGCTAAGCTTAATTTGTGCTCATAGCTGGTCCATTGACCCTTTGAAGTTGCATCAGTGGTGATAAAAAGCATTAAAATTTAATAAACAAGCAAAATTCTCTAGAAATGCAAATTCTAAACCTTCAATCGATGCTACCTTTGTTTGTAAGTAGGAGATATTTTATTATTATTCAGTATTTGATGAAAAAATATTGTGTGTACAGCTTTGTTGTGCAACCATCATTCATAACTTTTATATTTTTGCCATATTTGTCTCACTGTTTCAAACAGAAAAATGTCAGAAGTGCAAACCTGAATGTAATGTGAATGTGAACATAATTTAAATGTGTAACTTTGTAATTAATCATGTAATTTCATTTAAATCATTATGTGACGATCATTTTTGTCCTTCAGAAAGTTTCACCCTGTTCTTCAATAGAAAGGACCCCCACAGGACCACCACAGAGCAGGTATTATTTGGCTGGTCGATCATTCTCAGCACTGCAGTGACTGTGACGTGGTGGTGCTGGTGTATTACTGTGTGCTGTGCTGGTCTGAGTGGATCAGACACAGCAGTGCTGCTGGAGTTTTTAAACACCTCAGTGTCGCTGCTGGACTGAGAATAGTCCACCAACCAAAAATATCCAGACAACAGCGTCCTGTGGGCAGCGTCCTGTGACCACTGATGAAAGACTAGAGGATGACCAACACAAAGTGTGCAGCAACAGATGACTTTACATCTACGAGGTAGACCAACAAGGTGTGTCTAACAAGGAGTGTCTAATAGAGTGGACAGTGAGCGGACAAAGCATTTAAAAACTCCAGCAGTACTGCTGTGTCTGATCCACTTGTACCAGCACAACACACACTAACACACCACCACCATGTCAGTGTCACTGCAGTGCTGAGAATGATCGACCACACAAATAGTACCTGCTCTGTGGTGGTCCTGTGAGGGTCCTGACCATTGAAGAACAGGGTGAAAGGGGACAAAGCGCAACGATATTGTAAGTAAGTACAGTCCAAGTGTTCTTCTCCAAAGGAGATTTTCAATTATTTCTTTTAGGGCACGTTTTTCTTTATAGGCTATAACTATGAAGTATTTTCAATGGTAGGTTCCTGACTTAATTAGATTATATTTAATCTGTATCTGGAAAATCAGACCAGAAGCCTAGCAGAGGCTTAAAGGGGAATTCATTGATTTTTCTAAAAGTTCTGCATAAAGTCATCTGTTGCTGCACAGATTGTGTTGGTCATCCTCTAGTCCTTCATCAGTAGTAACAGGACGCTGCCCACAGGACGCCGTTGGCTGGATATTTTTGGCTGGCGGACTATTCTCAGTCCAGCAGTGACACTGAGGTGCTTAAAAACTCCAGCAGCACTGCTGTGTCTGATCCACTCAGACCAGCTCAGCACACACTAACACACCACCACCACGTCAGTGTTACTGCAGTGCTGAGAATGATCGACCATCCAAATAATACCTGCTCTGTGGCGGTCCTGTGTGGATCCTGTCTATTGAAGAACAGGGTAAAAGGGGGCTAACAAAGTATACAGAAAAACAGATGGACTACAGTCTGTAATTGTAGAACTACAAAGTGCTCCTTTATGTCAGTGGAGCTGATAAAATGGACAAACAGTATAGAAACAAGGACTTGTACTTAATGAAGTGGCTGGTCAGAGTCAAATGCACAAAGTTTTTATCTTATATGCCCCTGAAACAAATACACAGACAGGCTGACACAAACGCCCACACTTTAATTGCAGTTTAGAGTGTCTTTGCCCCGTCTGCCCCCTGCTGCCCTGCTCTCCAGGGAGTGGGGGTGCCATATGGGCTGATAGAACAGCGGCTGTAGCGAAGCGTGACTGAAGTGTCCTCCAACACGCCTGACTATTCATTAATCCCCCAGCCACGAGCTACTGATCACTCAGCCTTTTACCACAAACCTCATTATAATGAGAGAAGGGGTCCGCCGATACAGTGCGGCCGATGAGAGAGGGGAAGGAGGAACGCACGCTTAATAATACAGCTAATGGGAGTGTGTTTGTGTGTGCGTGATATTGCAGCTATGCGGAAATCTACTCCGATCAATAGCACCCCATAGCTATGCACGGAGCAGAGGGGTCCGCATTTATTTTCCATTCATGCAACGGGTTCACCAAGGCAAAGGCAAGTTAGTAGACAGACATAAAGCCGCAGGACTATCTCTAAAACTCGTATGCTCTGTGGGGTTGAGCTGTAAACGATTCTTCAGGAAATTATTCAGTGCTTGATAAACTCTCACATTTCTGCAAAACTCAGTTGAATTCAATGATTTTGGTGCCACTTAGAACTATTTTTAAAACACACTCAATGCACAGTAGTGTAATACAGACAATGAAAACAAGCTTTTTTTGTTAGTTTTGAAAATAAGCAGAGAATTGTATTTTGCCAACCAAAGAGCTCATACCAAGGCTATTACAGTTCTGACATTTTTGTTGGTCTTTATTTTATTTATTAATTTTTTTTATTTTGGTTTAGAATTTCAGTTTAGTTTCAGTTAGACTTAGAAGTGCATTAAAAGGCCAGCATCCTACATTTTTCTTGTATTTTGTTTTGCTTTTTTATGTCCAAATTAATTTTACACGACCATTTTCCAACGTCTGTTTATCCTTTAGAACGAAATGGGCTGTTACTGCACCTTTACGACAGGTATATGTAAACAAACTCTGTTTTGATTGGCTGTCCTGTATTGTGCCTTGTTCAAAAACCAGCCCAGACTGAAACACTCTTTATAATTTTATTGTGAATATGTGAATACAGTAAGTGGACTATATAACTGCATTGGACAATGCATATTATTTATGCGAATTTACATACTTGTTATGTGATTTTACTTACTTGTTTTGGTACTGCACATTATTTTTTACGGTTGTTTTAATATATTTTATTATATATCTTTACTTTTTCTATTTATGCATCTGTATGACAGCGTACAACAATACTGTTGCTCCTGTTTTGCTCTTTACTCTACTTTGTGCTGCTATAATAGATGACTTTCCCTCTGGGATTAATAAAGTGATTTATGTATATCTGTCTATCTATACTTGCAATTCATTCAAAGTCGGCTGTTTTTGCAGCTTAGTTTCTTTAAGTGGACTATATGAGTTGGAGAGTGAATGGGACATTTTGAAACTTTCAAAATACTTATAAACCACTTCAAACTCTTAGTTTTAATTTTTTAAAGAATGTGGTTTCATTTAGCCTTCATTTAGTTTTGTTTTTTAATATTATGGTGAATATTTTCTGATAGAAACATTGTCAACTATGTTTTTCTGAGTATGTTAAGTTTGACAAAGAAGCAACCCATAATACTGTTTAGTTTTCACTTGTGTGCAGTGGACATCATAGTTTTCTTTTAAAAACGGACGTTTGTATTTTTATTACTTTTTACGGGTACTTTTTTATGCTGGCTTGCATTTTAATAATGTTTTTGTTATTGATATTCATCCTGGCTCATACTGTAATGAATGTTACTACAATCACTTATAATCTAATCAACATTGCAAAATGGATGCAGTTAAACTGTCACCTTTAAACTGATTTTTACTGATCTTGTCACATTAAAGAAGCGTTCATGGAATTCAAGAAATGTTCACAGAGTTTGATGCCTCTAAAAGCTTTGGACTAAAACATACTTTTTAATACATTTATGATGGAGAGTTACATGCAGGCCAGATTTAGCATAATTTAATCACTATTATAAACACACACACATACACACACACACATATACACACACATATACACACACATATACACACACACACATACACACACACATACACACACACATACACACTCACTAAGCCACTTATCCTTCTGGGTCGTGAGGGGTGCTGGAGCCTACACTAGCAGTGATTAGGCAGAAGGCAGGAAACACCCTGGACAGGTTGCCAGTCCATTGTCCACATTACAAATAAAATACATAGGACACTTTAAATCCCACTAGTTGATTTGAATAGCAATTGAAATGGCTTTATTTGTGTCAGAGAGATTGTGACTCCTGGTTCCTATTACCACCACTATAACTAAATCTGAGTCTGTAAGTTACTTTACAATGAACCACCACTCTGAGTGAGTTGCTTCACACCTCAACGACTGAATTATGCAAAAACTGTAGAAACGTTGGTGCATTTTCCTTTAACAGGTAATCGCAAAATGAAAAAAAAAAAAAATGCCCTAAGCTATTTGAAACACCCTACATGTCACTGTACAATAGAACTGCATTGCCACTGAGGCAAAGCCACGGTGCACCCTC